GAAAAGATTCACTGCGCACTGAGGGAGGATTACAAAGTTAAAAGTTGCGAAAGTTCCTATTTCACCATCCTATGGAATTATCCTCATCTGCACAATGGTTTACTCACTGCGAGTCGACGACACAATTAACGTCACTTTAATAAAAGTTGAATTCATGTTCGTGTATTTGTACGCTGGCTGTCGTCATTGCTTTTCTCCCATGTAACTCAGTTACGGACTATAAATGAGCTCTGGATGAGGATATTAAATGTTCTTTGGCCATCTGAAAGGGATTTTCGAATTATCCCATGAGAAGAAGGCACGAGACGGACAAAGTTTTGCCAAAAGGATTTTCCACTGCACGCAAAAAACTCTGGGTTGAATACACTATGTAAAACCCTTTAGCCTTAGCAGAAAGTTAAGAATCACATAGTAAGATCAGAAAAAAACAGCAACTAAAAGGTGATGTAATACCATTTGGACACTTTTAGTGCAATATTGCTGAAATTTATGATAATCTCTTTCCAATAGAGTGTATTTTTCTATTCTTCTGCAGCATTTTTGTTTTAAAAATCGCATATATTTGAAAATTTCAGTGTTTGATATGATGCAATAGACTCTTTATTTGCTTTTATCTTGAGAACCTGTGTTGAATTATCTCTGAAATGGTAATCAAAACGAAATTACTCCGCAACTTTTTCTTATTGCGCTGCCAGTTTATTTGAAATGAGATTCTCAGGATCATAAAGTATGCCTAATTGCTTGACGTGTGGGTGTTTCGCCCACGATCCAGAGTAGGAAGAAAAAAATCATCAACTTTTTCATTATATTGCCTGAACCAAAAAGCCCCACAGCAAATATCCGGCCGCTACACGTTTTCACGCCTTGTATTTTGATACCTCAACCTCTTGCCTCGGCCAATTTGAGGCCGAGGAACAACTCGAGGCTAGAGCGCCGAGATTTAATGGACGAGAAAAGAAGGGGGTTTGGTTGCGTTTTATTATGTGGGAGAAATTCTGGAGGAATATCAAATAGATCAAATACCGAGGAAGTTGCTTCCTGCCCTGCGGGCGCCACCCTTGTTTCTTGCATGCACATCGCACTGGGGGTGGATTTGAAATTCCTGGCAAATTGGGAACGGTGGGTGGGCTGAGAGGCGCAAGAAGGGATGGAAAAACGGAGATTGGACTGGAGTTGATAATTAAAATTATCCATAGCAATTAATTTGCCATATCCATTGGGATGTGCGGCTTTAATTGGATGCTTTTGCTATTGGCACATCTCAAAATAGAACTCGAGGGTGTGGCTGGAATAGGAATATGTTCCGCGAAGAAGTTAAAAGTGCGATAAAGACGTGGGAATTGAAAGTAGGTGTATTTGCTTATTATTACTGAGTGACATACAACAGAGAGTGGCCAGAATGATGGTGGAAAAAGGGCATCAATGGGATGGAATTTCTAATTTTGCACTGAAATTTTCCAACCATCTTATTTACACAAAATTGTCTCTCAGCGTTTCGTATTCGACTCATTTAGCAATTTTTTATTCATGTCTGCGTCGTCTTTTTGCTTTGCTAGTATTTGGTGAAAAAATTTAAATCTTTGTCTCTTATTTGATGTGCTCCAATTGTTTTTTCAGCCTCATTTGTCTCATTCTCAAATGCAAACCTCAAGCCATTTTCCCTCTCTGAAGAAAGAGAGAAGAAGAAAAAAAACACAGACTTGAAGTGTCTCTGAGGGTAGAAGAGATGGAAAGTGAAGAAGACCTTGGAAGAAAAGTTCATTCACATGTGCAATTAATATGTTCAAATGCTTAAATTGTGGCATTTATCGATGCAAGAGATCTAAATTTTTCAATTTTCATTTAATTGTTGCATCCCTTTTTGCATAATAATGTCGACAGGGATATTTTTATACAATTGTACAAGTTTTCATGTACAAAATCAATTCATGTGAAATTGAAGAAAAACATTTATCTTGTGAATTGGTTCTTTCAGCGAGCTAAAGCTGCTGTATAAATTTTATGAGTCAATGCATAGAGACACAGAGAGAATGGTCATTTTGTAGATAATTCAACTTTCTAGAGTTGAAAATCATTGAATTTTCAGAGACCGCGCAATAAAACTCCCCCGAAAAGGCTCTAAATGGTTGAAGTTAATCAAGTTTAGAATATATGTATGAAGCAATATCTAAGAAGTGCGGTTAGTCTTAATGAATAAAATTTAATTAAATGAAATTTTTAATTGAATTACAAGGCCAAGTTCGATGAAATTTCAGTGCGGTGTTTTAGATTGAAGCTTTAAATGTATTGTTGTTGGAAGCAAAATGCAAGTATATATTTAATTTAAATATTAATAAATTCATTCAGACATGCATTTTGTATGCATGGAAAATCTAAATTTCATGAATATTGAGTAAATTTTAGAGTGATATGTGTAGCTAAATATAGTTTATATGGATTTCTCATATTAATAGTAAACAAATGCAGCAAAAATTATGCACATCATTGGGTTGGCTTAGTATCTCGTGAAATACAATGGATTTTCGAATTATGAGTATGCATATGTACATGTATATTGTGTAAATATGTGGAGTTGAAGCACAAAATGCTTGAGCATAAATCTCTTGGGCTGTATCTTGAGCTTATAAATGAGTTCCATTCGTCCTGTATATGTGCTGTTAGTCGGAATATCGGGCTGTTGGTTAATTTATGGTATAATTGTGCCGAATAACGGCTTGCTGGGAGCGAGACAAAATTGAAATGAGGTGAAATTGTCGATCCAGCGAGCACGTTCATTTAATATGGCACCGTAGAGCTTGAAGAAATGAGGGTGAAATTGGTAGAATTCAATACAGAGTGTCTGGACTCTTCTGACTTTTCCACCTTTGCCAATGGAAATGGGAAATGGTGAGTGTATGAGGATAATAGTTTCTCCAGTGGCTGCAATTAATATCCTTTTTGTGAATTATTTTCCCTCCAAATTGGATCGATATTCTTCGGTGCTTCGGTGTAGTGAGAAATGTGTCTATATATGAAGGTCTATAAGGGTGGGTTTATTAAATGGATGGCGTCTGCATTGTTGAGAGAGGTTGAAGGAGAGGAAATGAGATGTCTCGACACCTCGAGAATTATTAACATATATTTCTCCTATGCCACCATCCAGACTTCCACAGTTTTGGGGGAGAGTTGATCAATATTTGGGGCCAATTTTGTGCTCTAGCCTCAGTCACATTGCTCACTTATGAATAACAACTCTCCTCCAGGAGCGCCGCACACATACATACATGGCGAAAGGTGAAATGATATAATGAAGAGAATGAACCAGCTATAAAAATATTTACCAATCTTCCACTTGAATGTTGAGTACTTCATGGCGAAAAGTTTTTCATCTGTCGCTCTGTAGTTGGAGAAACTTTGGTCACACTGCAATAGATATAACGTGGATTTGGGAAAGTCAGTGAAACATTCTCTGGTCTCTTGGGAAATCTATGGTCAGTGATACCAATTACTCAGTCCAAAAGAGAGTACATTGAAAATAGTGCATATGAACAGACAGAAGTACAGGAAGGAAATGCAGCACTCTACATTGTGCTAATCACAGAGTATGGCATTAAATCCCTGTATATTCTGAAGAGGATGAGCTATATGACTATTTATTATAGAATAGAAAATTTTAGGGGTTTCAGAAATGATTGGAAGTTGAGAAAAAATTGATCATTAGTAGAAAATATTGCATGACTGTAGAGAATTTTTCTGAATTTTCATTCGAGAGAAGACCATCTCGAAAGCGTTGGGTGTGAAATCAATAAATTCCATTAATGAAATTGATTGAATTTAAAATTACGGCAATATCCATGGGTTAATTGTGTTAAGAAGAGACGAGGTGGAAGAATTCGCGATGATTGTGTGCAGAGAATGGGAAGATCCTTTCACACGAAAATGTGATTAATATTAATTTTCAAGAGAACGAACGTTCGTGTCGCAGACATTTTTCGTCTTGATATACCTTGCCATAGAGACTGAAGAGAAGTGTAATGTCATTTAATGCACTTGATGAGATTCCTCTTCAAACTTCCTTAAGCACAGTCAACCCCAGATGCTACCAACTCCGCAGCTTTAGTTCTTCGCTCTCATTCATCTTCGTACCGCTTTGCATCGCGTGTCATGGCGAAAATGGCGAAAGATTGGGGGCGGATGTGGTGGGCTTTTGGGAGCACTCTGGATGCTGTGTTGCATTGCAACAACATCCGTTTTTGGATGTGAAGTGAAATGGAATTTCAGAATGGAGTGAAGGAAATTAGACGCCATCAAAGATTAAATGGTTGCTGGGCATTGGATGCAATTTTCAACGCTATATTAATTTATATGCAAGCTTTAAGCATGCTCTAATTACTTTACCACCGAGAAATGCGCTAATTACGAACGCAGTTAATCTCTAATTACTTGCCGAGAGTCAGGTGAAGCTTATGAATGGGGCGGAATTGCGTCAGAGAGGGTGAGTTGGATTAATTAGGGAAGAATTACATATCAAATTTCACATAAATTTCTCAAAGCACTTGCCGCTTTATATTGCTTCGCGTGGCTCAGAAAGCATTCTCTTACTTCTTCTCGTGTGGAAATTTTTCCACATACTCGAAATGGAGGTGAAGGAAAAGTCCTCACGTGAAGACAGAAGAAATTTAATAATGTTACCAGTGTTTCTAGATGTGCTCAAGAGGGTAAAATTTCTAAGATCTCTTCTAATGTGTCTAATTGAATTCTTCTCCATTTTCAAAGTTTCTATTCTCAGCAAAGTCTAAGAAAATGGGGGAAAACATGCGGTACAAATTCTTGATATTCTCACTTTGAAGTGATGAATTGCACAGTCCTTTAAATTTGCCTCCAAATACATTATTTGCACAAAAGAGTGACGCAAGATTTGCATATGCTCTATATAAATTATTTATGTAATTATGCTCACTTTGGGGATGTGAAATAATTTACAGTGGCACTAATTGCAACATCTTCTCTTATAATTTCAGGCTGAAATATGGAGTGTATTCATCGCGATTCTGCGAAAGAGTGTTCGTAATCTGCAGGCGTGCACAGATGTTGGATTAATAGAACACGTTTTGGTGCGATTGCAACGTGCTGAAACTGTTGTTGCAGGTAAAAATGTTGATATATTGTTGTGCCTCACCCTGCACCTGTTTTCCTTCGTGCAGCATGAGAAAAAACATAGTGCATAAAGAACAAACTTTCAAAACTCACTGGAAGGGATGGTTTATGTATCTTTTTTTCTCTGTGATTTTGGGGCGAGTTTAAAATATAGTAAAACTTCAGCGGTAAATTAAAAGATAGAAAGTATTTCACATTATGAAAAAAACCGACGTATAAAATATAATAAATTCTGTCGGAAAGAAATTTTCAGTACTATTTTTTAGACATGCACAGAAAAAATATCTAAAGAAATAGAAATAAATTAGTAATGTGCATAATTAGAATAATAGAAATTCATAGCGAAAACGAAATTAAAAAATAATATTTTTCTACAGCAAATAGAATTTGAAAAGCGGGTTTAAAGCAAAATTTCTTCCTGAACGTAGTACAGAAATATGTACAAAACAAACTGTCGACTTAAAAAAAACGATTTGTGTATTTTTAAACTTAAAAATTTTAACAAATATAAATCTGGATTGTCAGATATGAAAAGTGCTCGAATTCAATATTGTAATATTTTTTGTTAAAATATCTCAATACTCGAGTGCTCAATGTGAAATGCAATTTTCCAAAGTGAATTTCATGATATTAGATGGTAACGAATATCTCCAAATAAAAGTCGTTTGTATTTTCCCATCTATTTTCCACTCGGATCAATCAGATTTCATTCCTTCTCCATATCGATGGGAAAATGTCTGAGCAGTTTGAGTGCTTTTCATGGCAGCGAGATGAGAAAAATTGCACCAACTTTCGCGTAATAAATTCTATTTTGGCATCTCACGAGCATACTTTCGGCTTTGAAAATGTTTAGAAGATGAAAAATATATCAATGTAGTGATAATATTTTGCCAGGGGAAAGAGAGGCTAAATCAGTGAAACATGATCAATATTTTTCTGGGTGTGACTGATATAAATTGTCAATCAAAATGTGTTGTTATTTTATTACACACACCATTTCTGCTTTTGTTGCATTTCACACTGTTATATCTACTTTTTTCACGTGTCACTTGTAAATCAATCGAATTTTGTGCTCTATCGTTTAATTTCAGTGTAATCCTCGGGCACTTTTGTGTGAGCTTTAAAGCACAAATATACCTTTTGGCGATGGAATATTGCCTGAGGGGCGGCAGGAATGCGTGGGGAAAATGTGTGAAAAATAGGGTGGAAAATAGGCGAAATATTGAGAATATATAAATTAATTTTATATTAATGCTCAATTCTCGGAACCGTGGAAAGTGGGTGGCAAAAATAATAGAATAAGCCAAATGCGGAGCTTTAAATGTCACGAATGGTGGTTTTGTGTGCGTGTGTTTGGGGTGCTGAAATCATTTCATTTTCCGCGCAACAATTTCAACTTTTATATGCCTCTCAGTCACTTACAGGGCGAGTTGAAAGTATAAATTTTATATAAGAAAGACACAATATCGCGTCCCTTTATGACAACGTTTTTAGCGTGAGAGGAGAATATAATTTTTGGGAGAATTCGCAAGTGTTTGTTTCTGTTAATTTAACTGAAGTGCCAATCTTGAGAGCGTCTGGGTTGTTCGTCAGGGTGGTTGGGCAATAAAGAGGCGAAATGTTTTGAGTGCGAAGATGAAAAGTTGGGGAGTGGAAAATTTATGACACATTATTTTGGGGCTGAGGAGGAAAAGGTGAAGAGGCTTGAGAAATTTTTGGAGATAGAAAAGTTGGAGATGATGAAGAGGAATTTCACAGGCTCAAAATTCAATGGTAAATTTTAATATTTTCACCCTTTCCACCCTCGATTTTTTTTTCACCTGCAGCGGAGGATGAGAAAAGGGAATTACAGTATAAGAATTAAGAGAGTGTGAGCGCGAAAAGGGCCAGAAAGTGGTGAAAAAATTGTCTGTTTTATGCTATGCAAGGTGTAATAAATAATTAAGAGGGAGGAAGAATTGGATGGCTTCTTCACATTGCGCGTTAAAGGAGGTGGCAATAAATTATTAATCAAATTGTTCTTTCACCCAATTTGCAGACTTACTTATTGAAATGTTGGGTGTTCTGGCGAGCTACAGCATCACGGTGAAGGAGTTGAAACTTCTGTTTGGCGCTATGAAAGCTGTTAATGGGAAATGGGTAAGTCTTGTGGCTTGGCACAATGTTTTGCCATCAAATAACTCTCTGATTGGCGCAATCACGCTGAAAATATATTTCTCCCTTTCTCCAACTTTTTTTTTTCTTTAAATTTCCACCTGCACATGGCAGCCGCGACATTCAGCAAAGTTATTAAATGTTCTACGACAAATGCCACATCGCAATGGACCGGATGTTTTCTTCAGTTTTCCTGGGCGAAAAGGATCGGTGAGTTAATCATTCACTTCAACAACAAGCACTTTTCTCCCCCATTTCGTCCCTCAATTCAATTGAATTAAATGAAATATAGCAATTTGCGTGATATTTGTACAAAAAAAGGAAGAAAAGTTGGTAAATGGCAAGGTAGGAAACTCGATTTGCTCCATTCGAGGACCAAAAAATGGCATGTAAAGAGGAAAAAAAAATTGACGGCACGAGTGAGAAAGAAATGGGAATACAACAATAAAGAGTACGGAATATCTTTGAATTTAACACGGGCACTAATTAAGGTTTGCTTAATTGTATGAAAAATATATATAAGGAGGAAAAGTCTTGGAAAAGTGATAGGAGTGAGAGGAAACAAAGTTGTCTCTTCTGATTACGATTCTAATGGCTTCAGAAATGAGGGTTTCAGACTTGAGATATATTTTTTTCGGCGAGGGTGATTTTTTTCGCGCTTGACGTGGAAAAAGTTTGTCTTACGCCCTCTGAGAAAGCCGAATGGGGCCGAATTTGAAAGAAGTCTAATTATCTGCAAACAACCATGAAATATGTATGAAAAGCGATAGTTAGTGTATTTTTAAATAACAAAAAAGAGAGATCCAGAACGATAAATGTCTTTTTTTAAGCAATGCACTGAGATTTACTGATATTTAAAAAACTACGTTTAATAGCATGATAGTCAAATGTGTTTTGAAATATTGAGATTAATGGTTGGAGAATTTAATGGATTTGAAGGCAGAGTTTCACCCCAACTTTACGACAATCGCAATTTTCCGAAACTTTACCCAGTAAGAAAAATATTCTTTTACTTTTCTGCAAAACTTTTTCCCGTGTCACTCATCAAGTTTCAATGGTTGCGAGAAGAAAAACTAAATCAATCAATTGAGTCATTCTTGACAGCTAATTCAAGAAAGTTTTTCTCTATCTCCAGAAGACACCTTTTCCTATTTTTCTCCCCCAAAAAGGGAACGCGAATTGTGGCGCGAAAAGATAGGATGGAAAGATGGAGATTTTTGGGTGGAAAAGCAAACTTGTGTGCCAAAGTTAATTACAAACAAGATGAAATTGTAGAGTTATCGAGATGTGTATAAACTCTTCTTTTTCCTCTCAAATGGAAGCTTTTAATCATTCAGTCTCCAGTCATTGGATTTCACTTGCACGACTCGCAGTGTCATGAGAGAAGGAGTGAAAGGCGAGAGAAAAAGTGTGTGTGTGCAGAGAAAAAGAATGGACGGATCTGGAAAAAGCACCATTTAGAGATTAAATTGCTGTGTAATCTAAATGTTTAATGGATTTCTCTCCTTTATTTTATATTTTCATTTGGTACAAATGTGAATTTGTAATTTGAAACCATTGCTCGTTACCTTTCTTCTTCCTCTCTTTTTAATTCTGGATCCTCTCTTATATTCTCTTTGATAAATGAAAAAGTAGAGGAAGTTTTGGGTATTTTGTGTGAATGGGTCAATAAAAAGCTCATGTATAGTCAGCGAAGTGCAAAAAAGCACAGGGAGAAAGAAAGAGAGAGAGAGAGAGGGAGAAACGATTCGAATATTGCGAGCTTTACCAGGAGACTAAAAAACTTTTTTGAGCTTGTTACACAGTTGAATTTTAATCCATTTCCATGAGTTTTCTCTTATTAATATTAATGCTATGGAGATTTTAGTTGTGTGAAATTGAGGCAGAAATCCTTGGTGGTTGGGCTACAAAAGCACCAACAGCTAATTTTCTTTGGACGGAGAGAGAGAGCAGCAGGAAATCCCTGCATACAAACACGTCGGGGAGTGAACATTTAGTGTACCTTATAGCTAAATTCGAGTATATCCTTCATCATTTATACGAGGGATTTTCCACGTGGGCTAAAACAGACTCTCTCATCTTCTCTCCCTGTCTTGCTTCGCCTTCTGTGGAAAAAAGAAGCAAGTAAGCTGGGAACAGGAAGTTTATTTGAGTGGAGAAGGAAAATCCACAATAAAGTGAATGGAAAAACTGGGTGAAAAGAATAAGGGAAGAGGCTTTAGGTGAAGGGAGGGCGAATTATAATCAAATAATCCAAATAAATTATGCAGCATTAACATAAAGTATGAATGAGTTGTACGAAAACATCTGCTATTTCTCTCTCGACGCACTCTTGAACATCATGAAGCAGCGCTAAGCACGAAAATTCCAATTAATAAGGGTGTGATATAAGAAGCTCGTTAAAATCCCATGTATTCGCATAAATATAAAATTACAAGCGTGTACCTTTTATTGTGAACAACGTAAACAACATAATCTATAGATGTACGTGAAGTTGTGCTTCTTCAAATCCCACCCCCATGTCTATATATGTATATGTAGAAAATGCCATAATATTGCAAAGTTGTTATCTAACATAAGTTTCATGACTTGTAAGATATTTCACTTTGGCTCTGGCATTAGACCAACTTGAGAAGTATATCTTGAATTGGATTATTTCGTACGACTTTCATGTGTATCATGGGAATTTGTTGACTATCGAGACATGGAAGGGAATAATATTTTCTGCTTCGGGATTCTGCATTGTAATTCACTATAACATACAGGAATCTTTGGTGAAAGTGTGTCTTTGAAAGGTAATGAATTAAATTGATTATGAGTGGATTTCGGTATTTTGTCTAAGTAAAGATTGTTGAGAAATTTCCTTGAGCAATTCTGTAGATTTATGATTTTCAAAAAACTATAGATAAAGGATATTAGATATCAGACTTTTGTTCTGACGCTGCATAAGATCGAGAATCTTATCTATAACCTTAAGTTTTTGCTTAGCTCTACTCAACTCTACACGCTGAAGGCATAATATAATAGTAAAGTTATCATGAGGGTGTCTTACCATGTCAAGTTACAATATTAAGACATTCAAATGGGACAAATTGACTATAGAGTTGAAGGTGGTGTTGTGGAAAAGTCCCTCAAGGGATGTTTCGGATGAGAGAAAGAGAGAGAGAGGAAAAGGATATTTTGTAGGTGTAAACTTTCTGATGAGTCAAAGTGTAATTTTCTCAGCGTGCGTAACTATTATAGTTAAGGAAAGATGTAAAGACGTGACGAAACTCTATACAATGATTTTATTAGTGTGGCAGAAAGATACAAGAAAGAATTTTTTATGAGGGAAAATTTTGTGCCAAACATTTTCCACTCTCTGGAGTGTAACATATTTTGGGAAAAATTGCACCGAAAAATCATTGTATACTTCTTTGTGTGCCATTTAGAGTGAAAGGAGCTTTTTTTGAGATTCTATTATTAGCGAAATTATTGAGAATTCTCCTTGAAGGTATTTTTATATTTCTGTGAGAGGAAAAATCATCTTATATCGCGTCATTTAATTTTTCGTGTCTCAAGTGACGATTTTGGGGGAGAATGAATGATTGTAAAATATATGTTTTGCATTATAATGTATGATATTTGAATTATTGTTACTGACTTACTTATTTTTATTTCTATCCCACCACTCGCGATGATGAAATTGTCCGTCGCTTCGACTTGTGTATGGGAAAATGATGATGGAAAATACAAAAGGCTATTGTCCTGCCGCCGTTAGCTAAATGGCCGTACGAAAATGGCTTCACATTCACAACGTGGTTCCGATTGGATCCCATCAATTCTGTGAATATTGAACGTGAAAAGCCATATCTCTACTGGTAAGTCTATTTTTCTCTTATTTATGTATTGATTTCTCCCATTGAATTTCAATTTCTATTTAGTGCTCATTCACACCTTCTTCCTCGCGTCCCACTTCCTCCCATTCCTAAAATGCAAACATCAAAGCTCTTCAGGGGCTTCATCGCTCCCCGCCTTTTATCTTCCCTTCCTGTGTGAACGGGAAAATTGTTGAAATATCTTCTCACCGCTTAGGCGCGGGAAAAAAGGCATGGAGAAAGTCAGTGAGATTGAAATTGGGATTGTGTGAAATATGATATTGTTTTACAGTTGAGCCACACTGAGAATTGTGGTGGATGGCAGACTCTCTAAACTTTCCCTTCCCGTGTTCAGTTATATTTGATTAATTGAAACAATAAATTTTCCACTCCACTCTGAAAATTCAATTCCCATTGTAAATTTCTCATTGGGTTTTTAAATTGGCCTCTGGGGGTTGGGGTGTACATTTTGAGGATAAATTCGAATGTGAGGAGATTTTAATGGATTGGAGAGAAAAGAGAAAATGAGCGACAGCTTTCTGTCTCTGTTTTGTCTCTCTGTGGGAACTTTCAATGGTGAAACATTGGTTTAATACAATTGCTATGGCTTTTCTGGGCCAAATGTGTAAATAAAGTGATTCTTAAAGTATATTCTTATTTTCCCCTAATATTACCATGGAAACTCTTATCCACTTATTCTGCTTTCAGTGTAAAGAAATGATGAAATAGGATATTAAGAGGGATGACTAAAATAATGCAGACTTTCATGATGAGGCGGAAGGGATGTAATGTGAATCAATGTCAATGTGAAATCTGAGCAGGAACAGCGATTCTTGTCAATAATGTGCAGTTATATAGAGTGGATTTACTTCTCGTTAGTTGAATATTAAAATTGTTTCTATTATATGAGCTGAGCTTTTGAATCCACCAGAGAAAAAAATTCGATTTTTTTGCGTTGACAATGTATTTATAGTAATTTTGTAGACTTAATGGAAAATGCCAATTAAATCAAACTTTCCAGAAGTCTTTCATATGCATTTTTTGTTCTCACCATGCGTAAATTTAATAAGGTTCATATGAGTACGAAGAGGAGAATTTTCCGATAGAGCAAATAATATTTTCCATCATGTTTTTTCCTACCATCTAGAGTTTGATTTAATTACGGGAAATTTTAATGAACATTTCTCCTACCCTTGTATTTTTGCAGCTTCAAAACATCCAAGGGTGTTGGATACACAGCGCACTTTGTCGGCAATTGTCTGGTGTTAACATCAATGAAAGTCAAAGGAAAGGGCTTTCAGCATTGTGTCAAATATGAATTTCAACCGAGAAAGGTGAGTCTTCCCGCATTCTCTTGAATTTCAATGCACACGCTGCTCTGGTACATGGTCTACCCTAAAGCTTTCTGAGCCATTGTATTCTATATAAATTCACGTGAAAAGCGAGGTTATACTTTTCTCGCTAGATATGGCGTTCTATTGTGGATATATGGTCAAATGTATTTCTGGGTGGAAAACAATATCCCCGGGCATTTCTCAATTGGCAGCTCAAAGCAGCCATTAATTTCAAAATAGTGTGGATAAAGGTGAAAAGTTTTAGCAGCAACATAAGGGGCAAAACAAATTATTATTTCATTTATTCCCAGGCAAAACTTTTGCACCTCACAATTTATCGAAGTGAAGAATTACACAAGTTTTCCCCATCCATTGAATATTTCTAACTTTTGCACTCTATTTCCCGTCAACAGTGGTACATGATCGCGATCGTGTATATTTACAATCGTTGGACAAAGAGCGAAATCAAGTGCCTGGTCAATGGACAACTAGCGTCAAGTACGGAAATGGCGTGGTTTGTCTCCACAAACGACGTGAGTATCGCATTGTTTTTCCGATTAGGTTTAGCGTTGCATTTGATGAATGCACAACAATTGGTGATTCACTCGATATTTTGCTGATTTATCCCAATGAAATGCGACCGTAACAGCCATTCGACAAGTGCTACATTGGAGCGACTCCCGAAGTGGACGAAGAGAGGGTGTTCTGTGGTCAAATGGCAGCAATTTACTTATTCAGTGAAGCATTAACAACACAGCAAATTTGTGCTATGCACAGATTAGGTCCAGGTTATAAGGTAAGATGCAGCATTCGGTGCATTTGGCAGATTATAACACTGTCTCTTTCTCACATCTATTCTATCTCTTAATATTCTTTTGAGTGTACAATAACTATATACAGAAATATTCACTTGTTTCATGCTGCACTTTTGTACAAAACCAAAAAAAATAATGACAAACGATTGTCTGTGTGGTATATTTTTCACCATGACTTTGTCAAACAACAAAATTCACTGAAAAAAAATCACAACACGCCAAAATATGATTTTCCACTATGTTTTCGCATCGACACGTGCAAAACAAATGTGCGACTGACCTCTCGACCTCTTATCACAGTCGCAATTTCGATTTGACAACGAATGTTACCTCAATTTACCGGACAATCACAAGCGGGTGAGTGTTTCTTCCCATTTGGCAACTCCGGGCGGCGACACGGTGACTGAATCGACGCTCCATCTCCTCCTGAGCGGCGCCGCCGCGGCGGCTGGCGCTCAGGCGGCGGTGGCAAGCGTCCCGCCGCCAGCAATCACCAACACTCCAGCAGCCGCCGCGCCATCATCAGCCCCCTCATCCACTTCTGTTGCCAATGTTGCTAGCGACGACTTTAATTTTGTATCCGTAAGCATGCTTTTTATTTTATTTACACTTTATTCACCGCCTCTAGACGAAATATGTTTAGTTCTGCGCCACGTTGTAGCTCTTAAGCATTGACAATGTCTTATATTGCACGCAAAGAGATGTGACGCCAAGTGACATTTGGACCACTTCTCTCTGTGCTTTCACTTGTAGATTTTGAATTGTGTGATTATTTTGGAATTGCTGCTGTGCTTTATTCCAGTCAAATTTCAGCGGTTCGCTATTTATGTATAAGGTTCAAATGGTTGCTTTTCACTTCTGCTAGAGTGAATGAAAGCTTTAAGATCAGAATTAAACTGAGAATATCAGCAAAATTTCTGATTCTATCGATTCTAATAGAGTTAAAGAAGGTCACAAATGAAGAACATACGCCGTATTAGTTGAATCCATTCAATTACCAATAGAATAGAAAGCATAAAGTTTTTCAGTTAACCTTTCCCAGCAGTGTAAAATATGACATTCTCCAACAATTGTAAGAAATTGAGCGTAAAATAGTGTAGAGAATCGTCACATCTCTGGACGCGCAAAACACGCAGTTAATTTGCACATGGTGAAAATGCTGTACAACTTTTTGGATTGCTTCAGCATTTGGTGCCAAAGCACTTGTTTTTTTCACACCCTCCCATTCCCTACTATGTCATTTCCTTTTTTCCACAGCAGCGCCCCTGCAGAAACTGGGAGTCTCTCTCTCTCTCACTCTTTGTATACTTTTTTTTTGTTTCCCGGGAAGAAAATTTCACCCAGAGAATCTCACTTTCTCTCTTCTAATCCGTAAATCACAATAATGTTGTGTGCTTTTTATTTCTTCTCCAACCCCGACATTTTTTCAGCTTGTCTGTTTCCTCCCATTTGACGTGAAATGGAATAAAAGCTTTTTATCTCGATGCTTTTTTTGTCAATTCTCGCTCTGCGTTGTTCTCTATGGCCCAAAAAGCCGATGGGAATATGAGGGAATGAATAAATACGCTGTTTTGTGTGTATTGGAGATTTGTCTGAAATTTCGTATGTCTGATTTTAAAAGTGTTGTCAGAGATTTTTTCACTGTTTCCCTCTGACAGTTTTCCCTGGGAAAGTGTGTAATTAAAATTAATTGGAAACACCTTTGATCTATTCTGATACTCGTTACGCGTGTTTTTTTTTCACTGCTTTGATTACTACGCATAGAAGGAGAAGGAAATTCTGTCGTTGTATTTACCATAAATGTTTCATTTGCGAATGCTTATCTAAGTTTACCGAACTTTGGTAGTCTTAAAATGAGATATTGTCTGCGTGAGTTTTTTTTTTCTTGTATTATTATTCTCTGAACTTTGTCACGCCAGAAGTCTGAGAGAGTGACTTTATGGCCTTTTCCTAGAATCTTTTTTCATTTATGTTCTCTCTCTCTTGCTGATGACTTTTCTTGGAAAATTAATTTTCCAAGTGGCGAATGCTGAATGCGAATTGCATGTTAGATGTAACATGCATATTAATGCTTCCCAACGGGGAATTGTGGTTTTCGTGCCATTTCTCTTCCCTTATTTTGATTTCATACAAATTTACTTACTGAGTTGTATTGTCTTTCTCACCCTCGTGAGTCAAACTATCCTTGAGAATGATCAGTTCTGATTTGGTTTTATTTTATCATTTAACTGGGGCGGATGAGGTATAAAAGTTTCTGTGGCACAGAAGGAGAATTAAGTTATAAGCTTTGGGGCATTGTTGGAAAATTCATTTATGTCAATTTGCAGGTTCTGTACGATGGAAAACTGTCCAATGCAATCGTATTCATGTACAACCCAGTGGCAACTGATGGTCAACTATGTCTGCAATCGGCACCGAAGGGGAATGTCTCGTTCTTTGTACATACACCGCATGCTCTTATGTTACAGGTAATTAATAATTTCAGGGATAAATTCCCCTCTCTCTCTCTCACGGGGATGTCAAAGAACATCCCACGAGGGTGCATTTGTCTCTAAGGGATGAAGTCAGGATGAATAAATATTTTCATTATTGATGTCTCTCAACAGGACGTGAAAGCTGTCGTAACGCATTCCATTCACTGTACGTTGAATTCAATCGGAGGAATTCAAGTGCTTTTCCCTCTCTTCTCCCAGTTAGACATGCCATACGATGGCACTAGTGATGTTAAAAGAGATCCAGCACTCTGGTGAGTATGATTGTGGAGGGTTTTTAATTAAAACTCCAATGCACTCGACAAGTAGCTTTGACTACACACGGCATTTGGCGATATTCGTGTCTAATTAGAGGATATTTGCATTCCATATTTCAGTTCGAAATTGTTGGGCTTCATTTGTGAACTTGTCGAGAGTTCCCAAACTGTCCAGCAGCACATGATACAAAATCGTGGCTTTCTCGTGATATCATTCATGCTCCAGCGCTCGTCCAGAGAACACCTAACTTTGGAAGTTCTCGGATCATTCCTAAACCTCACGAAGTACCTCGTGACTTGTCTGTCGGCCAACAGTGATCTTCTTCTGAAGCAGGTAATTATTCTCATTACTGTTCATCATTATTGTGAATCTACTACAATGCGCGCCTTAAAGAAGGATATTTCTTTGGTTTCCTCATTTTTTCATTGTCAATTTGACACACATTTTCAAAATAATGTGTCGTTGAAATATTTTTGTTTCTACTTCTTGAAATTATTCTTGGTTTCCCAAAATTTTCCTTCAATAAAATTAACATTTTTGAAATATTCATGTTACAGACAGTAAGGTTGCACGTTTAATATTTTCACTATTTCTCTGTGGTTTAATTGTTTATTGAGCAGGAATTTGAGAGCATGTTCCACGTCAAAATTGTTGATTATTATCTCATGCCCTAAGTGATTTGCGCTGAAAATGTTGCATGGCTCCCTTGACAATATTTATGTTCAATTGAAAATTGTTTATTATTAATCCATCAGAAAATTTTGATTATAATGACATGATTTATATTTCTAGACTATGAATTTGTTTTGCGTTCCGATGGACAAAAATACATCAAATCGATACTGAACAAAATGATTAAAAACTCGTAATGTTATGAAATAGTTACAGCCTGATATCAATTATCTTTTAATAACATCTCTCTGTGTTTTGCGTATTATTTTTGGCTCAGTGCATCATATATATTTTTGTTTTGGAACGATTCGCTGGAAGAATTTCATGCTCGATTGAATTTATCGGTGAAAAAAACAAGAAAAAAATGTGTAGGAACATATTTTTTGGTATTTTTCTGTGTGAGGAGAAATTAACAGTTCTTTGTCGCCGCTTAGAAAAAGTGTCAGTAAACATTCCATTAACAAGGACGGGACACATAAATTCAGTCTTAGATGTGTGGCTATTTCGATATGATTCTTGCTGGACGTTTGTTGTTTATCTTGATTTTATCTCAGTGTTATGAGTGTTGTATCTTGCTGCATGCCTCAGAAAAAAATGTGGCTGTAGCAGGACAGACCTATACCACGGCTAATGGTAGTTGTTTTGCTTCTCCTTCCTTACATGGCAGCTCCTCGATCATGTCCTATTCAATCCATCTCTGTGGATCTACACGCCGGCGAATGTGCAGGCGCGTCTCTACTCCTATTTGGCGACGGAGTTCCTCAGCGACACGCAGATCTACAGCAATGTGCGCCGCGTGAGCACAGTTCTGCAGACTGTGCACACACTCAAGTTCTACTACTGGGTGGTGAATCCGCGGGCCAAGAGTGGCATCGTGCCGAAAGGATTGGACGGTCCGCGGCCGGCACAGAAGGACATCCTCGCCATTCGGGCGTACATTTTGCTCTTCCTCAAGCAACTGATAATGATTGGCAATGGTGTGAAGGAGGACGAATTGCAGAGCATCCTCAACTACTTGACCACGATGCACGAGGATGAGAATTTGCATGATGTCCTGCAAATGCTAATATCGCTCATGTCTGAGCATCCAAGCTCAATGGTGCCTGCCTTTGATGTCAAACACGGCGTGCGGACGATCTTCAAGCTCCTCGCCGCTGAGAGCCAATTGATTCGCCTCCAAGCACTGAAACTTCTCGGTTTCTTCCTATCGCGCAGCACTCACAAGTGAGTTTATATTTTCTCTTTCATCATCTCATGTGATGAGGAATTTTCTTTGATTTTGCTACTTTATTCACTCGTATTTTGCCTAATATTTGCTACCGAAACATATTGCAAATCTTGAGATTCTGCTAGAATTGTTACAATATCTCGAAAGCACAACATTGCTGGCATTAAGTGATGTTGAAAACATTTCTTTAGCAAGTTTGTGTGTACATAAAATTGAACAGTAACGAGCTTGAAGATGTTATTCTCGATATATGTATTTTTCACAGTGGAAAATGCGAGGAATCCATATCGCTTTCGTTGAAATTTTCTCTGGTGCATTAAATTTATTTGTTTGCATTGGCATTTCAGGAGGAAATACGATGTGATGTCACCACACAATTTGTACACGCTGTTGGCGGAAAGGTTGCTCTTGTATGAAGAGTCACTGTCGTTGCCAACGTATAATGTGCTGTATGAAATAATGACAGAGCACATATCTCAGCAGATCCTCTATTCAAGACATCCGGAGCCGGAAAGTCATTTCCGTCTGGAGAATCCGAGTGAGTGAATTCTTAATATGCATCTAGAGAGGATTTTTCATCTCTCTCTCTCAATTGTTCCATTTTTGCATTCACAACTAAAATGTTGCTTATTGATTTTTCGTGTCTTCATCCTATTCTGGGAAAATGTTGTTCATCTTTCCTTTTTCTGCAGAGTCATTGTGATATTAGGAATGTTTATTGTCTCAAGAATGTTATTTGTTTGCCAATTTGAAAGGGTAGACACATGAAAAACAACTGGGAGAGATAAATTCTACTCTTCTCGGTGTGTTTTTCTTCCTTTGACTGAGTTGAGAGATAGAGAGAGAGAGAGAGCGATGAATGCTGTTGAGGCGTAACGGGGATTATTCATAACGCCACATGTGTTTCTATTGAAATTGCAGTGATCCTGAAGGTGGTGGCAACGCTGATCCGGCAATCGAAGCAAACGGAGCAATTGCTGGAAGTGAAGAAGCTCTTCCTCTCGGATATGACACTCTTGTGCAACAACAATCGCGAAAATCGTCGAACGGTGCTGCAGATGAGTGTGTGGCAGGAGTGGCTCATCGCGATGGCGTACATTCATCCGAAGAATGGTGAGGAACAGAAGATATCCGACATGGTGTATTCGCTGTTCCGCATGCTGCTGCATCACGCGATAAAGCATGAGTATGGTGGGTGGCGCGTGTGGGTGGACACATTGGCGATTGTGCACTCGAAGGTGTCCTATGAGGAGTTCAAGCTCCAATTCGCCCAGATGTATGAGCACTATGAGCGCCACAGGACGGACAACATCACGGATCCGGCACTGCGACAGGCGCGCCCCATCAGCACGATAAGCGGGTGGGAGAGGGAGTCCGATCAGCCGGCCGAGGGGGCGTCCATTGTGGAGATTGAGGGTGGCAAAGTGTGCCAGAAGATCAGCACGGCGACCGCCACGGAGGAGGAGTGCGACGGGGAGAACAATAAGATGAAATGTGGCTGTGAGGATGAGGAGGTGAAAGTCACCGCATCCGCCGACTCTGTCCAGACGATATCGCACATCTCCGATGTGTACAGCAAGCAGGTCAGCGAGGCGATTTGCAATGGGAATGCCCATGATTCCAGCACGGAGGAGGAGAAATCACCGGCCAAGGAGGCGGCGAAGGCGCCATCCGGCGGGCCCGAAGTGCTGAAGCAGGTGCTGGAGGTGGATGTGGATGTGGAGGAGCCTCACGAGGAGGGTGAGACGAAGGAGGTGGTGGAGCAGATTGTGGAGGAGATAATTGAGAAGTCGGAGAAGTTGCTGAGCGACTGCAAAACCACGTCGGATGAGATGATTATTGAGACGGAAACGGCGTCGCCGGTGATAAAGGATGAGGAGCTGGAGCTGGCGGTGAATGAGGTGGTGAAGGGTGTCCGTGAGATTGAGCGCAAGGTGAAGGGTGACAGTGATGATAATCATTCAATTAGTAGGAGCAACAATAATTTAGATATTTCCGATTCAGCCACGAGCAATGATAAGACTGATTTACTCCTGTCAAGTGCAATAATTTGTAATAGTAGTGCGATCGCGGCTGCAGATCGTGTGGTTAGTGAGACGGATGATGAAATTGTTGGGGCGATTGTTAAGGAGATAGTTGAGAAGTCGCTGGACGAGGTGACGGGCGTTGAGGTGGATATTGTGGAGCAGGCCAAGGAGGTGGTGGACAATGTGCTGCGAGATGCAAGTGTTGTGAGCACAATTAGTTCCAAGCCACTTGAGGATGCTGCCCGGGAGGAGATTGCCAGCAGCATTGTGAACGAAATGGTGGATATTTGTCTGGATGATCAAGTGGAAAAATTGCCTGGAGACGGTGACACGTCGCAATCGGGTGAGGCGAAAGGCGAGAGGTGTGAGGTGCAATCGCCTGTGGAGAAAATTGATGCGTCGAGCGTGGTGGAAAATGGTATTCAGACATCAGAGACAAATTCTCCGCAAGTTCAAAGACCGCAGAGTGCATCGACGAGCACACAAGTGGAGAATAATCACTTTGGTACGTATTTACATTGCTTATGGCGCGGATGATGGTGAGAGCGAGAGAGAAAGAGAAAAGCTCAATGGGAATTTCCTCCATTCTATTTCCATTTGCAGAATTAAAGAGATCTAAATCCGGATCAACGAGACCAATGTTCAGTCCGGGTCCCACAAGACCGCCTTTCAGGATTCCCGAATTTAAGTGGTCATACATTCATCAGCGCCTCCTCTCCGATGTGCTCTTCTCACTGGAGACGGACATCCAAGTGTGGCGAAGTCATTCCACCAAGAGCGTCCTAGATTTCGTCAACTCCAGCGAAAATGCCATCTTCGTTGTAAATACTGTACATTTGATATCTCAATTGGCCGATAATCTGATTATCGCCTGTGGTGGTCTGTTGCCTTTACTAGCAAGTGCTACTTCACCAAATGTGAGTGCTTTATGCTCTGTTCAAATCCTGTATTTTCATTCTCAGAGTAAATTTGAAGGGGTTCAAGATTTTTCTGAAATCAAAAGCGCATCAGTTTCTGCCACCAGATGAGTTTGACTGACATGAACTGAGTTTCGTATAGTCAATGATAAATATTGTGGCTTTTATTTCTGACGATTAAGTGTAGTTTTTATTCATTCACAAGTTCACTTTAATGCCTTATTTCTCAAATCATTGAATCCTCTTCAAAGTTTGTCTGAGTGTGCATTAGATTTGTGTTGAATGATTTTGTGATATGTTAATTCGAAAGGTCATTTCTCACTGATAAATCTCAAATGCAATTTCACACTTTGGTGAGAATTTGGTAGAAATGGCGCATTAGAATGGCAGTCACTTGTAAATCTTCTCTGGGCATTTGACACTAAATGCCTCCCTATAAATTTTGTGGTTCCTGCAGTCTGAACTGGATGTGCTGGAGCCGACTCAAGGGATGCCTCTCGAAGTGGCTGTGTCATTTCTGCAGCGTCTCGTGAATATGGCAGATGTCCTGATATTCGCCAGCTCACTCAATTTCGCCGAGTTGGAGGCGGAGAAGAACATGTCCAGTGGAGGGATTCTCCGACAGTGTCTGCGACTCGTGTGCACGTGTGCTGTGCGGAATTGTCTGGAGTGCAAGGAGAGGACCCGCTACAACAATGGCACCGTTCGAGATGCTCCTGGTGCTGCTCACTTGCAGGCACTCATTCGGGGTGCTCAGGCGTCGCCAAAGGTATGGAATATCAGTCAGTTGATTGTGTGGAAGGAATGGCATGACATCTAATGTGCATTTTGCAGAACATCGTTGAGTCTCTGTCGGGGAGCTTGAGTCCCGTGAAGGATCCGGAGAAGTTGCTGCAGGACATGGATGTGAATCGCCTGAGGGCTGTTATCTATCGCGATGTGGTAAGTCTGTGAGACTCTTTGGCTTCGATGTGTGGCAGAAGCAAAAATTTGTTAAAGAAACGGATGTTCCAGGAGGAGACGAAACAAGCGCAGTTCCTCTCGCTGGCCATTGTGTATTTCATCTCAGTGCTCATGGTGTCCAAGTATCGTGACATTCTGGAGCCACCCGTGGAGCCTCAGCCACCCAAGGCGTCACCTGTTATGCAACGAAATCCCCAAGCTCAAGGTAAGTGAAGACAGCAGAGTTGCACAGTCTTCGCAGGTTCTCTTTTTCTGGGGGAAAGACACATTCTTTTATTCTTGTATTCCCTTGCCATCCTGTGTTGGGTTTCCGTTTTTATTATTTCACTCTGTTTTTCCCCACTCCTGCGATACTCCGAGATGAGAGAAATTAATTTAGATGGGCAATTTTTACTCCCCATCTCAGCATTAGAAGAAATTACACGTAATTATTTCCACCCTCACCGTCTTTTCTGTTGGAGACATATTAATATATCTCTTTGTGGAACACTGTAGAAGATGACACCATGTCATGAAGCAACAACACAAAATGAGTTAATTTTTGGGCGGCAACAAAGATCTTTCCTCAAATTTACTTCCTCTTTATTTTGTGTCCCTTTTTTTTATTATTTCTCCGTTTGCCTGTGACATCATAATTTATTAGGTTCACGAAAGTTTAGTTTATCACTCTGCAGGCATTGTTGTGAAGAGAGGAGAGTCAGTGAAAGTTTACACTTTGAATCACATCAGTTAAATTAATGACTGTTCTTTAAATTGATACAAATGTAGCGAAACATCCTAGAGAAATGTTTCGTCTATTTTATTCAATATTAAGTATTTGAGTGATAGTTAATTTTTATTGTGAGATTAAAATTTAAAATTTTACTGATGATCTGACCTACAATCTGACAAATTGTCTGCAAAGTGAAGTGAAAAGGCCAGAGAGAAGGGAAAACACAAATACCTAAGAAATATAGATTTTACATTTTCAAGATACACGAGGAAGAAATCAATTTATATAAAAAGACCTGTTAGAAGAGTATTTGAAACTATATGAAAACGCTAACAAATCCTGTACAATTTCCTCTCTAATTTCACGCTGCTTTTTGTGGATTTGACTCTCTGTCCCCTGTTTTTGGTCCCCACCCTCTCTTAACTCTACTTCTTCAACCAAATTAACGCACTTTGCAATTTGCAATACACCATGGCGCATTGACATGACATCAAAAATCTATATGTTGTGTTGAATAAACGATAAAAAAAATGATGTAGAACCGTCCGCTCGACCACTCTTCCCGCAATGGTCACATCACGTATACCCACAATTCTTGCCCGGCTCACATCCCAATCACCAATCACTGCCGCCACCGTCACAGAATTCCCAGCAACATCAGGGGCAGCATCTGACACATCAGACGCAACACAATCATCTGCATCACAACTCAAATTTCACGAGTAGCGAGATTAATACGAATTACTATGCGCGCGATCACACTGTGCTCGCCAACAACTCGACAAATGCTTACCTGCGGAGTCGGGCTGGCGGCGGGGCGGTTAGTGGCGGCGGCGGGGGTGGAAGCGGTGCTGGGAATCACGGAAACGGTGGCGGGGTTCTTCACAAAAATAACACTGTCAATAACAATTACCGCTTTAGGAGTGCTCCAGGTATATTAAACCGTGCGAAGAGAGATGATTTTGTTTGTAAAGAATTTACTAAGACTCCTTGAGTTGAATGTTTTTCTATAAGATTTCTGTGCCTTGATTTGTCTTTGTTGAAACCATATAAATTTTGTATCTTGTCTGTTTATATATATATCAAATGTTTGCAAATGAGAAAAAGCATCTAAATCCTTCAATCATTTTTATCCATTTGTTTCATCTCTTCTCTGGTAGTCTTCTGTCGAGGTTTGGATTGATCTTCATGGAAATTTGTAATTTGCATAAATTGTTTATGATTTTAATTGAAGTTGTTCAGGTTTTTCAAAGAAATAAATGGAGAGATTTTATAATTTCGCCTGTGAAACGTGCCTTTAGAAATGTTATGTCAGAAACTTTGCTGACGTGTATAATTTGAACAAACTTCCCCATTTTCTCTATATAAAGTTCAATGATGATAACGACTTCGAAATTATTATATTCTCTTTCTCTCTCCTTTAAGTATATGAAATGAGATTCTCGACAGGAGACTCAATGTAAACATAATTTATTGATGATTTTATTATGTTTTTGTGTTAGATTTCTCAACACTTTCATTCAATATATTGGAATCAAATTAATTCCTTTTCACGTCAATCAATGTTTCAACTGTGCTTTAGACGTACTTCTCTCATAATAATCTTAAACAGAAACACAGTGACTGCAATGCCACTCAACACAGCAGCCATTTATACATTTGCATATTAAATTGCAATGAACACAAAAGCACACATTAATTGCTTTTCCCTTTCCTAAATACACATAGTAAATGTATCATGAGAAATGTTGCTTGCTCGCTCATAATGTGTACATAGATGTCCTCATGATAAGAGGATGATATGCAATAATAGACTATTGTAGTTACATTGGGCAGCATTTCTTGCACTCCTGCATAATGTTATGTAATATTGTGAGTTTGACAATTAATTTTCCTATTACTGCTTCTCCACAATTTCATGTGTATCGTCTCATGCTCTCTTGCTCTCTCTCTCTCTCTCTTCTCTCTTCTCTCTGTCTGTCTATCTTCCATCCTGCATCCCACAATTTGAATGTTGTAATTTTTCTCTTCTTACTCTTCTGTTGGGTTTGAGTGTGTTTAACATGGAATGATGTGTCATGTTGTGCAAGCAAAATGTCCTTAGATACTATTTCTCTTTACACACTCGGCAGGAGAATTACGATGAATTGACTAACACAGTTTTCTGTGGCGCTCTTTTGCCTCTCATTGCAGGCACGAGAACAATACAGGATGAGGACTATGAGGTGATTGTTGTGGATGAGAACAATTCATCGGTTCTGGCAGACAATGAGTCACACTCAAGTGGACCACCTTCCATAAAAGTAAGTGGTGATATAATTGATTTCTGTGTCGCGTGTCACATGCAAGTGTGAAGCAAAACTGTGTTTGCAAGAGAGATACAATTTGATAAGATCCTTCAGTAGAGGAAGGAGACTTCTCTCTTCACTATATCTGTTATTTCAAGTGATAAAATCTCTCCTCCTCACTTGACTATTACACAAACATAACAACACACTAACAACACGTGATTAGATGGTTTTTGTCACATTATTAGTTTTATCCTTGTTATACTTTGCATGTCGTTTTCCAATACACCTTGATTGGATTTCCTTTGCGCGCAAAAATATTATCAATATCACTTTTTTTTTTGGTCTGTCTTGTATGAAAGCACAATTGGCTCAACAAGTAAAAATTAAATGAAAAATGCTTACTCACGTGATGACTAAATAATTTATATATAAAGACACTTTTCTAAATTGTTTCTCCCACCCGATGTTTGTTTCCTTCTCTTCTAACGTACTTTATGTTGGACATTAAAGAAACATGCATTCGAGAGGGTGAGAAGAGATCCTTTCGTAGTGATTTTACTTTCTTCTTGTATATATAAAAGTCACACAATTCATCATCACTTTCTGCACTTTTTCACATGTACAATTTCCTGGTGAATCGCGGCTATTAAACATGACTTTTATCAATTAGGGCAGCTGCTGTTCGACTGCCCTGAATAATTGTCCTGTTTACATATTTTGCCTGTTGATTTCTTACCATCCTTTTATATTGCTTACATTGACACAGCGTGTATCTGCATTTTGTGGCTTGTTTGGTAATTGATTGACTGACAAATTTATTTAATTACATTTATTATTGTATTCTTTTTTCTTTGATATACCGAAATATTATACATCTACTAACTGCATGATAACGACAGGCTAATCGACAAGTATCTACATTAAGTGGAAATTTACAACCATTGACACCACCTTTGCAAAATGTGCCTCAAAAGATAAATCGCAAGGTAATTTTAATTATAATGGCTAAATGATAGAATAGACGAGAAGGAAGGAAAACAAAACTTATACACTCTCTCAAGCACCATTTGAAATTGAAACATGCTGTGTGTGTAATTTGCATTAAGTTCAAACTTGATGATTCTACAGTTTTTCGTGATGAAAGAATTTGAATAATTCACATTTTTATTGTATATCAATGTCTGAATTTTCCTGTAATTAGCATATAATGTTTTCGATTGAATAATCTGTATATCTATCTTCAGTTCTTCTTTTTCTGTACAAAATCAGCACATTCTGTGGTGTTTATGAGTTTATTGTACATATTCACGATTTCTCTTCAAAGAGGAGAGAAACAGAGAAAATAAAATTAATTTTTGCCATTAATTTTCTATGATTGTGTTTATTAATATTATGTAGTTATAGTAAATTTCGTTCAATTAAATCACGTTTTCAATTATTTGAACATTTGTGCATCCTTTGACGCAAAATTATCAATAATAATTAACGAATTCCTTTTCACAATTAATTATGAAAATATTTCGGCTTTAATTTTTAATTACATTTTACCAATTGGCCGAGTAATGCTGAAATTAACGAATTTACAGGAACTTATACACATTGAGTTTCTACAGAAATTCGTAAAATGTAAATGATTTATTGAATTTTGTGCCTTTGACGAGACAATCCACATTTGAATGATCAAAAAATGTGTGTATTTGTCATGAGTTTCCAGGGAAAAAAAAATTTCTGGATTAAATTGACTTAAATTTTTGAGTTTTTTTTTGTGTATTTATGTATTTTAATATATATTTATTGGATGGTGACTTGTTCCGTTTATATATTTTCAATTATCCTCTATAATTCTGCGGTGATTTCCGCACGAATAAATAAAATTTTCCATTGAATGATTCTTCCGTATAGTTTCATGTTATTTGCGTGAATGTTCTGCAGGTAAAATTGTTATTGAAAAAGAGGGAATTTTCTGCATGATTTTAATTCGTATACAGTAGAAGCACAGATATTAACACTGTAAATTCGGCTAGTTTTGAGTTTAATTGGTGAAATTGAAGCGTATTTTTCTCTGGTAGACTTTAGTTAGATCAACATAGTAAGTTATTTATTCATTGAATTTATGCTAGTAATGTGGATTTTCCTTTTCTGTTTATTATTGAAACCTATATTTAAACACTATAACACACACTGACTCCTCAGTATTATCTCTTTATTGTATAATGTATTATTTTTGCATGCAACAAACAGTGAAAATTCTCATTAACAATAACAATAATAATAATCACGATGATGATGTTGGGTGATAATAATGCTCAAGGGGTGGTTTTTCTGGGCGTGTATAATGGGAATGAGATTTACCAGAATGATGATGGTGTATTATTCTGAGGCGGATGGCGCGGGATTTTCTCCGTAGCGGATGAAACTCCTGGAATATTGAGTGGAGAGGAGATTGAGTGAATATGTAAATTGAACGTCAATGTTTATTATTCACTCTCATTCCCATGGCGTCAAATGTTGGAGAGAGCGAATGGGTGGAGATTCGGTGTATTTTCCATGTAACAGACACGCACCATAAGACGTTAATATATTCGTATAATCAGCTTTGAGATCAATATTTATGAAAGGATGGGTGGAAAAAGAAGTGCGCTCCCGAAAAAGGTGGAAATCTTTGTGAATCCAAAACTGGGAAGAAGGATATTGTGCTAAATATTTATAAATGTGTCTGAAATATTTTGGAGAAACTCTGTTAAAATGCAAATTTTTGACAAGAACAAGAGGAGTTAAAGAAATTTCAATTTTGTTTAGTATATGTATTATTCCATCAACGCAAAATTAACTCTCATCTATGGATAAATCCAGCTCAAATATTTGAGATTTTCTGCAAGAGTAAAAACGTTCAATTTCTTCAAACTTTTCTGACTCTCAAACTGTGAAGAAGACTCATTAAAAAGTTGTAAAGAATACAACAAACTCACATTTTGCTTTGACGGAATAATTTTCTTTCTACATAAAATGCTATGTATCTAATAATTTGTCGTATTTCGCTTCCTTTTTCATAAAAAAAAAATAGAGCATGGATTCCGACGCTGCATCTCTCAATATGAATTCCACTGAGAATGACGGAGTGGAAGTTGAGTCTTCGTCTGAGACAATGGCTGACGATAACAAGCCCAACAACTCAAACGACGAGAGCTGGACGGATGTGAACCTCAATGAGGATGCCGGGGGTGGAAGTGGTCCTGGTGGTGAGAAAGTTCGCGATATTGAGGGCAATATTCATCACTTGGGCGCTGGAACTGAGCGTGGCGACAAGCCTGATTCTGAGATTTCAGTTGTTCGCGTGCCTGACGCGTATGGCGGTTCGTCCAGTAGCGCTCGATCTCGACCGGATGATCTGCAGATGAAGCCTCCACTTGTTGGCTCACTGCCTTTGACCACTCCATCTCGCGAGGCGAGTCTAACGCAGAAGCTTGAGATCGCTCTTGGGCCAGTCTGTCCGCTGCTGAGAGAGATTATGGTGGACTTTGCGCCATTTCTCTCCAAGACACTCGTCGGCAGCCATGGCCAGGAGTTGCTGATGGAAGGCAAGGGTCTGACAACTTTCAAGAACAGTCACAGTGTCGTGGAACTCGTGATGTTGCTGTGCTCGCAAGAGTGGCAGAATAGTCTGCAGAAGCACGCCGGCTTGGCCTTTATTGAGCTCATCAACGAGGGTCGCCTACTGTCGCACGCAATGAAGGATCACATTGTTCGTGTGGCGAATGAGGCGGAGTTCATCCTGAATCGCATGAGAGCCGATGATGTTCTCAAGCATGCGGACTTTGAATCCCAATGCGCCCAAACTTTGCTTGAGCGTCGCGAGGAGGAACGAATGTGTGACCATTTGATCACAGCTGCCCGTCGACGGGACAATGTAATTGCGTCGCGATTGCTGGAGAAAGTGAGGAATATCATGTGTAATCGCCATGGCGCGTGGGGTGACACGAGTGGCACTCCAGTGAAGATTATCTACTGGAAGTTGGATGCTTGGGAAGATGATGCTCGCCGAAGGAAGCGAATGGTGCAGAACCCACGAGGATCTAGTCATCCGCAGGCCACGCTGAAGGCGTCTCTTGAGAATGGTGGTCCTGAGGATGCCATCCTGCAAGCTCGAGAGGAATTCCACTCTCAAATTGCCGTGACGCGTGGACAGCAGCCACCGCAGTCGACAGCAGATCTCCTGGATGACTCAGAGCTGCTGATTGAGGATCGAGAGTTGGATCTTGATCTCACAGGACCGGTGAATATCAGTACAAAGGCCAAATTGATTGCTCCTGGTGTTGTGGCTCCGGGAACAGTGTCAATCACCACCACAGAGATGTACTTTGAGGTGGACGAAGACAGTGTCGAATTCCAGAAGATCGAACCCGATGTTATCAAATACTGCGATCATCTGCACGGGAAGTGGTACTTCTCAGAGGTGAGAGCCATCTTTTCCAGGCGATATCTCTTGCAGAATGTGGCAATTGAGATCTTCCTGGCCAGTCGTACATCCATTCTGTTTGCCTTTCCCGATCAACACACGGTGAAGAAGGTGATCAAGGCGCTGCCTCGTGTCGGTGTGGGCATTAAATATGGCATTCCACAAACCAGACGAGCCTCAATGATGTCTCCGCGACAGCTCATGCGAAACTCCAATATGACACAGAAGTGGCAACGTCGAGAGATCTCCAACTTTGAGTACTTGATGTTCCTCAACACGATTGCCGGTCGCACGTATAATGATCTCAATCAGTATCCAGTGTTTCCGTGGGTGCTCACGAACTACGATTCGCGTGAATTGGACCTCAGTCAGCCGTCCAACTATCGGGATTTGTCTAAACCGATTGGGGCTCTCAATCCCAGCCGAAGAGCATACTTCGAGGAGCGCTACGACAGTTGGGACAATGACACGATTTTGCCTTTCCACTACGGCACACATTACTCCACGGCGGCTTTTGTGCTGAATTGGTTGATTCGTGTTGAGCCATTCACCACGATGTTCCTCGCCTTGCAGGGTGGCAAGTTTGACCATCCCGACAGATTGTTCTCCTCTGTGTCGCTGTCGTGGAAAAATTGCCAGCGGGACACGTCGGATGTGAAGGAACTCATACCAGAGTGGTATTTCCTGCCTGAGATGTTCTACAATTCATCAAGCTATCGCTTGGGCGCTCGCGATGACGGCACTGTGGTGTCCGATGTGGAGTTGCCACCGTGGGCGAAGAGTCCCGAGGAATTTGTGCGCATCAATCGCATGGCTCTGGAGTCTGAATTTGTGTCATGTCAACTGCACCAGTGGATAGACCTTATATTTGGCTACAAACAGCGCGGACCGGAGGCCGTTCGGGCGACAAATGTGTTCTATTACCTCACATATGAGGGCAGCGTGGAATTGGACACCATTGCGGATCCGGTAATGAGAGAGGCGATAGAGAACCAGATCCGGAATTTTGGGCAAACACCCAGCCAACTGCTAATGGAGCCACATCCGCCGCGCAGTTCCGCCATGCATCTCACGCCAATGATGTTCAGCGCGATGCCCGATGATGTGTGCATGTCCCTCAAGTTCCACCTCAATTCGCCCATTATTCACATTTCGGCCAACACATACCCGCAGCTTCCGTTGCCGTCTGTGGTCACGGTCACGGCGGGGCATCAGTTTGCCGTGAACCGCTGGAATTGCAACTATGCGGCCAATGTGCAGAGTCCCAGCTATGCAGAGTCGCCTCAGACACCGGGCACAAATCTGCCCCTCACGATGGACCCAATGCTGTGTAAGTGTGGAAATTTATTGCTGTTCTTGTCTTAGATTTTGTGAGACTTGATTTTTGTCATTTTTCCCTACTTCTTGCACAGCGCAAACGAATGGACACAACAATCCGACGATTCGACGCCACTTGGGAGACAATTTCAGTCAAAAACTAAAAATTCGTGCCAATTGCTTCGTGACGACGGTGGATAGTCGCTTCCTGATTGCCTGTGGATTCTGGGACAACAGTTTTCGCGTGTTTGCCACGGAAACGGCCAAAATTGTTCAAATAGTCTTCGGGCACTTTGGCGTTGTCACGTGCCTGTCGCGCTCCGAGTGCAACATCACCTCCGATTGCTACATTGCTTCCGGATCGGCGGACTGCACAGTGCTGCTGTGGCACTGGAATGCCAGGACGCAGAGCATTGTCGGTGAGGGCGAGGTGAGTGCGAAGAGCAGTTTGTAATTTGCAATAACAGTGGAAAATTTTTAGTCTCTGGGGTCAAATGGTTTTCACTTTCACAAACTACAGCGGTTCATTAGAATTGTGTTACTCGCAAACTAAGCAGAATTACAATGTATTTTAATTTGGTTATGGAGTGACTTTTGTCAAGCTCTCCTCAGTAATTCATTTAAAGTTCATGTCTAAATAGCGATGATCTCCACCTCTCATTCAGGTGCCAACGCCAAGAGCTACCCTCACTGGACACGAACAAGCTGTGACATCTGTTGTGATTAGTGCCGAATTGGGATTGGTTGTCTCTGGATCGATAAGTAATTACAGGATGTGACATTTTGCCTGAATTGTGGTAATTAATCTGTGTGCGTTTTTTCTCTCTCTCTCTCTCTCACATCTCTCAACTCCATGTGGCGAGAATAGATGGTCCTGTTCTCGTGCACACGACATTTGGTGACCTGCTCAGATCCCTGGAGGCGCCCACGGAGTTCATCTCGCCGGAAAATATCGCAATGTCCCGCGAGGGATTCATTGTGGTGAACTACGACAAGGGAAATGTTGCTGCTTACACGATTAATGGGAAGAAATTGAGACATGAATCGCATAATGATAATCTCCAGGTAATTGGAAGACATTGAGTGGATTGATGGCGAAGGGGTGACGATTAAATTTCCTGTCTTTCCTTCACAGTGCATGCTGCTGTCGAGGGATGGCGAGTACCTCATGACGGCCGGCGATCGGGGGATAGTTGAGGTGTGGCGAACATTCAATCTGGCGCCTCTGTACGCCTTTCCGACTTGCAACAGCGGCATTCGCTCACTGGCACTCACTCATGACCAGAAGTAAGTTCAGAGATTTTGAGGGTGGAAAATTATACTAAACAGTTTTGAATAGAGGCGTAATTAGTGCGCATTGACCTTGAGAGGGCGATCGAGGATTTAGTACTTGCTAATTCAGAGAAAGAATTGACGTTAAATAATTACAGTTATTAACTTTTGTGGTGAACCATTCTCATTAAGCAATATCGTGAATATAAAGTCTCTTCCGTTGTAACTTTCCTCAATTCAATTTAATTTTAAAGACCCATAGAGGTAATTGAAGTGTCGGAGTAGAGCTTTCATTGCGACATTTTATGACTTTTCATTTAAAATGCACTTTGATGGCATTCGTGGAATGGGGAAGAAGAGTGTGTCTGTTTTTACGATGCTGAAGATTTATATCTTTAATCTGTGGACAAATGGAAGGTTGGATATTCATCCATAAAGTCAGTTTAATGTGCTGATTTTAGGGCCTCCGCTGAAATTGTAGGCAGATAATTGTCAATGGAAATTAATCTTCCGGTTTTATTCACCAGATACTTGCTGGCTGGCTTAGCAACAGGCTCCATCATTGTCTTTCACATTGACTTCAATCGCTGGCATCATGAATATCAGCAGCGCTACTGATAAAATATGCCCATTTGGAGGGCGTGTCATCAGAACATTGTGTGCAGATATATGAGAAAGTGACGAGAAGGACGCGACTTTTGCCTCCTCAAATGGTGAGAACAGGAAGTGAATGAATTTGTCGGTGGCGAAGAGAAGAGAAAGAAGAAATTCTATGAAACATGATACTATAACAATGCGGCCAAAATAAGGTAAGATAGAAGATATTTTTAATTATGCTCTTGAAGGTTGGAGATGGTGACTTTGGAGTGCATCACACACACACACACACACCCATTCAAAGTAAAGTAAAACAAGAAGAATTAGATATAACTATATTATGAAAAGAAAAAAAAGTTTTGTCTGCTATAAATAGTAAAGGAAGATAAAGAAAAAAAACATGAAGAGTGCAATGAATTATAAAAAAAAGGTATGAAGTAAGATTTTAAAGAATCATAGTAATCGTCGCGCCATCGTTGAATATTTCGAATTTTTTACACATTCACTTTGTTTTTACCTGTTTTTTCTCCACTTTTGGGGTTACCAGTAAAAATATGTAGTGGAATAAGTGATTATAGTGAGAAGAAAGAAAGAAAAAAAAGAGAAATATGCATGAGAAACATGATAAAAGTCAACTGATCTTAGAAAAGCAAAGTCATAGAATTTCGCAATCAAAATAACATTATTAAATAATACTAATAAAAGTGAAAATTATGAGACGCAGGTCTTGAGTGAGAAAAAGAAAGTGGAGCGAGAAATTAATGAGCAAAGTTATTAAATAGAATGTTTTTTAGCGTGTGAAAAATGCGGTCGAGTAGATAAAATATATTGTTATGTTTCATATAATGTACAAGAATTAATGAATTCTAGTCCTCGTTTCCTTAATCCATTCCTTTTGTTGGTTTATATTCTTCGTCCAAAATTTCCAAACTATTTGCACTAATTGCAAGAATAAGTGGAAAAATATTGCGGCTGAAATACTTAATGAAAACAAAATGAGAGAAACTTAATAGCATTTTCTATAAAAGACACACCACAACGTATTTGAACATAGAGAGGTACTTAAATAGTGCGCATGATAGAAGCTTCACCTATGAAACAGAACATTAATAAATAACAAAAGAAAAATATAGTGTTACATTGTCGCGAAATTTTTCAGAAGAAAAAAATAATGGTGAGCTTTTCCGAACTGAAGTTCTTTTTTGTGATCTTTCTTTTTACACCATCTTTGAAGTATCTGTGAAGAAACACCGCTCAAGATTGATGAAGTACTTAACATGTATTGTGCAAGTTCTCCCAATGCGCATTTAAATGTTTTATTTTTTGTGAGAAGTAGACACAAAAGTATATTAATTTTTAGTCTATTAACTTCATCCGAAATGTGAATATTGTTAACATTCCGCCATCCAATTAATGAATTTTAAAAGAGTAAAGTAAATTATATACAATTATGGAGGAAATTGATAATAAAAAAAAAATAAGACACGATAGAAAAAAATGGATTAAAAAGCACTAAAATTGTATTTTAAAAATACAAATGAAAAAGATATAAAATATTAAATAATATTATGTACTATAATAAGAAATAATGAAAATATTTGCATTCTGTCCAAGAGAAGAAAAAGAGTAAATAAAAAATGATATAACTTGAAAAGAGAGAACACACATAAATAAATTTATGAAATGAAAACTGGGGTGATGAAAGAATTAATCTATATTGAATTGTAAATATGATCAATATTATAGCTCTTTGTATTAATTACCAATTTCATCGTCTAACGCGCGGTGAAGTTTTAAAGCAAACGCGAAATGAAAGTAACTTTTAATTGCTAAATATACATACACAATAGATAATATATTTGGGTGAAATTGCGAGATGGTAAAATTAACTTGTAAAATGAGTGAATGACTATCACTGGCATTGTATTATAAGTGTTTGGTGTTGGTATAAAATGATGAAGAAAAAATTGGTATGAAAATCATAGATAAAAAAAAAACGATTTATTGCACTTATTAAAAGCAAAAAGTAAGATGAAAAACTAACATTTTATTGTCAAAGATTAAAGAAGAGGTAAAAAAAATGATGAAACAATAACGAATTAGGTCAGAAAACACGTGAAAAATGGTTTCCACCCCTTGCGTATTTCTTTTGTGAGTATTTTTAAATGCATAAGAAAAAAAATATCGTACTGTTAGTGGACGAGAAAACATTCCTTTTGTATTGATTTCTTTCCGATCAAAGGAAAACTGTGCATTTGGCATCGCTACTTTATGTTTTAGGAAAAGTGGGATATGATAAAAAGTCTTGAGAAAATAGTGGTAAATACGTAGCTTAGAAGCTGAAGAAATGATTTACGAAAGGAGAAAAATCGCATTTTACAATTATATTGACCTTCTTATCCATATAAATTGTCACAAAACCTTTTAAAAATAGACAAGTAATTGAAAAGTCCTGATTTATCGCAGAATGACGAAAGAAAGAAATGGTATAATTGAATAATAGGAGAAGTCAATACAGAAATTAAATTATGAGACGAAGAGAGCAGAAGGAGAAGATGAAAGAGAAGCTCAGAATGCAAAGAGAGCGATGGAGAGTCAGATGAAAGAAAAACCATATTATCTTGCGGAGGAGAAAGATAGAATATTGCACAGCTATGATCCTGATTATATTTTGTCAAAATATAATGTTTAAAAGAAAGAATGATGATGCAGAGTAATATGTTTAATAAAAATAAATTTATCTAATAACATTCAACTTTTTTCAATCATCAAACTTCCCTGTCCGTTTGTAACAAATTCATAAATGTCTTGAGTTGAATTTCGAGTGCGTGTTGAATTGAAGACACGCGTTGGCACTTTCTTGTGAATTTTCATACATTCGGAATTACAGCTTTCTGTTAAAGTCTAATTCGAACAGCGTCAACAGAATTCATTGATCAACAAATTAAACGCAAGACATCTTTCAACTTGAGAGTTTTCTTACCTACAACTTCGTGATAAGTTAAGAAACTTGTCCTCGGAAGCCATGGAATCCGAATTGAGCGATTCTTTTGTGACTGACAATGCGATATTCGCCCAGAATTGAGGATGAAACGCAAGAAAGTCAGTTGAAGTTTTCCCCGAGAATGATGTTGAGGAAAGCATCTCTATAAGTAGGACAAAATTAATTTCCTTTGCAAATTCACGTCTCTGTGAAAGTTTCAATCCCAATTATTCTCTGCATCACTTGAGGAATTGTCCTGGAAATCCCGCTGGTGAGGCTGAAGTGGGTGGACGGGGAGGGTGTCGACGAGTGAGGCGCAGCGGGTGGGTGAAATGCGAATGAAAATGATATGAGTGTGTTATCAACGAAATATGGCATGAAAAGTGGAACGTGTGGGCGGGAAAGTTGACATGGAGAAATTTGCTTGTTGACAAACTCATTAGAGTCAATTTAAATTCAACAAAATTTGCACTCTATAATTGAAAAGAGCGTCTCACACTGTCTCTCGTCCACTGACTTTTCAGCTCACACAACATTTCCCATGTCGAGACGCCGCCCGGGAATTGACGAAAATAGAAGGATTGCCTCGCTACCGCGTGATTCCGTTGGCAAGTTCACTCTGCGTCGGGGGCGAATTACACCCTAATGGCATCTGATTTGGGTGTCGCTTTTCATCCGCACTGGATCATCTCGAAAGTGGAAAGCGCTACGAGTCTGTGACAATCTGTCACGTGAGTATCACTTCATCCATCATGTGTCGCATTTCTAATATTTATTATGCATGGATTCCATTTTTCGCATCCACAGAAGAAGCTTGAGAACCAGAGTTGGCATGTCAATAGCGTCTCTGCACATTAAATCTGATCTCTTGATTAGATAATTTTCTGCCCATTCACATTAGAAGTGATGAAATTTTTATGTTTTGAAGAAAAAACACTGAAATTCTTTCACTAAATTGCATGGTCGAAACACAGATGAAAAAAATCAATGATTTTTTTTTTAGAATGTGGGATCGTATTTTTCATGTTGACTCTCTCATGAAGAATTCAGGAATCGTATTCTTGAAATCTCGCAGTTTATACACATTTGTCTCAGCAATATTTCTCCATCCTGTTCTTCATTTACCTTCCAGTTTAGATATTTTCCTACACGCGAAGGTAGATGAAATTGAATTTGGCCCAAAGGGTCAATTGTCTCGACTTTAACAATCACCTGGAGAATTATTTTCTATAATTCGTTTCTTGCTTTATTCATTACACTTGGTCTATATTTAACATGTCTTCCATCCTCATCCGTGGCCGCTCAGGCAGGATTATTTCCTTCGGGACACGAAGTTTATGACTACGAATCTGGTGCCGGAGAACTCACCCTTCCCACTCTGTGTGTGTGTGTGTCAATGCTTTTTTCCCGCTCTGTCTTCCCAGAATCATCGCTCTGGGACCGGCGACACAGTGTGTAAATAGTGGAAAGCTGGACCGACTTCTCAAACAGATGGAGAGGGACAATTTAATTCCAAATGATGAGGACTTCTTTCCACTTTTATTGCCATTGAGCGACTTTAATGCCCTTGTTCGCCTCTGAAAATTCAATTACACTAAGTGAAGAGGAATTGTTATTTGCTCGAGAGAGCGACTCGGGATGTCCAGTGCGGAGGAGAGAAGTCACACTGGGAATCATCAATGCCCAGCCACACGGGTGGAAGTGCAGGGGAGTGACATCCTGATTTACTGCGATGATTGGTCAATGTGGCGAAAGACGTGCCATGCAATTACTGCAAGAAACACCTTCTCATCGAGTAAACACATTGTCACACTCCACTGGACAAAGTGTTCAGTGATTGGAGAATCTTGCAGATCTCAAATTTCAGACAATTCAATTAAATTTATACATTCCCTTCAATTATTGCTTATTATATCAAACATTATATTGCTCTCCATGGAGAAAATTCTGAGAAATATTCATGGGAATATCAAAGGTAAATAGTAAGAAATATCTTCGTCCTTAAGTTGTTTGCACAATATTTCCTGGGAAATCAATCAGCAATCGAAGGTTTCTGACTTTGCTATTCTCTTGGCCATTCTTATGTCCTTAGGGCTTGTCAATTGATGAAAGTGGTAGCAAGTGAAGATCATATGAATGCAATTTCACACTTCACAGTAACTCTATGAGTGCCTCAGATTCAAAGCCCAAAATGTGTGTACAGACCATAGAATGCGACTCCCTATGACAATTTCCTCATTTACTCTCCATTTGTTGAGAGAATTTGGGGAATACTTTCGTCACAGGACACTCCACTGCGGCGACGACATCTGTGTGCTGTGCATTTCCATTTTGGGGATTAATATTCACAGATGAACAGTTTTGGAAATGGAGAAATTCTCAGTGTGCGAATAATTTCACCACCTTCCAGGCAGTCGCACATGCATCCGCTCCTGAGGATGTGCCGGTGAATGGAGAAATTGCTGAGCAATGGAATTTGTGTGTGTGCAGAACTTTCCCTCATTGTGCACTCCATGGAAATCTGTGCTAAGCGATGCATCTCACCCGGTGAAAATAGCGATCGTGGCATGGAAAATTGGGTTGGATGATGTGAAATGAAATGCAAAACACGATGTTTGCCAGAGAGCAGAAAAAATACACACACACACCCTGCGAAAGGGGAAGAGTTTGCTGGAGGGATCAAAATTAAGAATGAATTTGGGTTATGCATTTCCACACATTTGCATACTCAAGCGCGCACATAGTTCACTTTGCATGGCAGGTGTTGAAGCTTTTAAAAGAACAACAGAAGGAAATTCCGTCAATGGAATTTTGCATTTTCAATTCAAGAGCAGCCCGCGGACGATAAATTGAAAAGATCTATAGAGATTTGAAATTTATGGCGTTAACTTCACCTTTGAAGTCTTGCATTGAGCCTTTCGAGTGAGAGAATTCTATTATTTATGTATGAACACTTTTCAAAGCTCCCTTCTTTTGCATAAAGGCATTTTTCACAAATTCTAATAAATTACCTGGAATGAGAAACTCATTGATTATTCGCTTTGGGAGGAGAATAAATGAATGAATTTGTAGTTAAACTCAAGGTTAAACCTATAATTAATGTGATGAGCAGGAATTGTAAATTCGTGAAATCGATAATCATCAAATTATGAATCCCAAAGCTTTTTAATCATCACCACAAAAGTAAAGCTGTATTAATTACTGTCATAAATGTTGATTTCAATTAATATCATTTTTCCTGCGTGTACAAACAAATTACACCTTATTATCTAGCCACAGAAATATAACAAACTACAGCAATCATTAGTTAACTGCATTTATGTGTGGGCAAACTCGTGGCCACGTAATTTAAATCGGAAACACTAAACCGCAATTTTAAAGCGACAGCGGGGAATTTATTTAATCAGAAAAGGAAGCAGGAGGGAAGTTCTCATCCAGGAGGTGTAATCTAATTTAATGGAATGTGTTGAATGTGCGACACGTTGACCGCAATTTCCGACGTTCTGTCGAAATTCCATCATATCAACACTTTGGCGCCCGGAGGGATTTTCGGCACGGAGATGGCCGTGATGATATGATGAGTGGTGGGCGGGGGAGCACGACAAACTCAATCATAAATCAAATATCACCGCAGGACGGCCGGAGGGGTGTGCGGATTCACCTGGAAATCCCATCTAGAGCGCCTGATCCGAGCCAGCAGCTTAATGGTGTTTGCCACAATAATAATATCGAATTAGCTTCCTGACGATCCAATTTCCACTCTCCAGCGCCGGCACAAGATGACGCTCCCCCTCCCCGGCGGCGGCCACTGATGGGGTGTGCGGCGGGGGGCGACTTAAGCTGACGTGCAATAAAATCATGTGATGGTCAATTACTCAGCAACCTCAGTCGGTTCCAACATGTGAGACTGAATTGCATTCTGTCGCCCCTGTGCAGACTTCACACCCGCCCTCGTGGGAATTGAATCAACTGCCGAGCCCGTCAGTTCCGGGCGACACCAAAAGAAAATTCGGCTGGGAAATTATTCATGCGGCAAATTACACTCCGGCAGCCGAGGAGATTGAAATGATAATTGTCCCAAATGCAATAAGTCTCTCATCAGGCGGGATTTACTGGATGATTTCCATAGAAAGCTCTCGTGGTTTCCACATTTATTTGCTCATTCGCACTCAGAGAGAGAGAGAAATGGGATCAAAGGGAAGAACCATTCAAAATTAATTTGACACAAGAAGACCTTCGTTGAAAGTAATAGAAAAGACGCACTGTTGAACGTAAAATTATGAGCTTTGTAAGCACGAATTTGTGCTTCAGTGGCTAAATTTTGAGTTCATTAAGTGTGCACCAAATGGTTATTGAGTTGAGGTGATTTGAGTAATTAAATTAAATACAGTCAAGAGGGAATCAAAAATAATACCACAAAGATAAATTGTCAAATTGTGCGCGAATCTGTGATTTCTTGACATCTACAGATTACGAAATTCTGTGCTTAAGATGTTTGCAAAATGGTTATAACAATTTGACTTTTAAAGTTTATGAATTTACATCAATTTATGTTGGTGAGCTTCGATATTCAAAAGCTTGACGAAGCTCAAATTGAGCCAGAAATGGCAAATCATATCCAATCAAGCTCCACTCATATGTTGTAAGAGGAGTATAGGATGTGAAGGTTGCGAATGTACTTCGGCAGTTAATAACTTGATGAGTTGGTGAGAGAGCAAGTGGAAGAGAGCGAGAGAGAAGAGCCATAAAAGTCGAATCACATCATGTGTGTTTGATGGGAGGAAACTTTTGATAAACTTGCATGTGGAAAATCCTCCATCCGATAAAACTTTCCTCTCCCTGGGTTTGGGCCAACAAGAAAACTTATACATTATACTCTCAATTTTCACTCCCTCCTCCTCCGCCAGATGTCGAGGTGGTTGCAAAGACGTGCTGGAAAATACTTTCCAAGAGATGCGGCGGGAAATGCCATTAAGAGGTGGAGAAGTGTTTCAGGGAATTTCTCTTGTGGATTTTATGAGTGTTGCAACAGCAAGTCGAACAACAGTTGGCAATTTTGCAGGTTTGCTCAGACACTATAACTTCGTATATTTTACGATCCATTCTATCCATCGTTTCCGTCTTTTGAAAATCCTCCCTAAGCACTTTTCTCATTTCCATGGAGAGCAAGAGAAAATGCGTCACTGCATTTGCCGTGTCATATCGGTCATATCCAATTATTTTGTCAACTTCTCAGCTTAGTATCCAACATTTTCGTGGATACTCGACTCAGGAATTTGGGTAAAACTCCTCCGAGGGCCAATTTGGTTGATTCTCCTCGAGTCTCGGTCGCAAATGAGCTCTTCTAAGGCGCTTTTCGAGGCAAGTGAGGGTGTTCTGTGACTGGCGTGAGGATGGCGAGTGGCTTAGGTCAATCTCCGCCGGTGTGGCGTCAGGAGAGAGGAAGGCACATAATGAATAGCTTACAAATTGGGGAGCTCATATGGCGGACAGATTCTCCTGCCCATCCTCAACGACGGAAGGCGAAGACGGATAGATTGATGAATTGTTCGGCCAACTGTCTCGGACGGAAAGATGTGCTTCAGCAGAGATACTTAAGACTGCTTCTCAAACATATCGATCGCCGTCGTTCTTTCGCTCTTTTACCACATTCAACCAGATAAAAATTGCGGTTTCATTTCGAATCGCTTGCATTACGCAAACACCACCAAGCAACTTTCATCGAAGCTCGCTGATGAATCGAGAAAGAAGCAATATTGTGATTTAAAATAATGGAACGTGAGATTATAATTGATGTACATGAGAATTTATTGATATTTAATACCCCAAAAGATGTCGCTAACGCAAAATCACAGTCAAGCCGTGCTTTCGGCAAAAAGGTGTGCTCAGTGTGGGAGGACAAAACGTAATTTTGCGTATGAAATTTAATTATAAAATCATAAATTGTCGCTGAAGCGGAAATCATTAAATCAAATTACACCCGAAACTCTCCCCATCCCGAAAAGGTTCAATTTGATTAGATGCCGCATACATTTTGTGCCTCTTTCTATGTATCTCCGCCAACAGCCCATTTTGTCTGTGGCACAAATTCATCGCAATATTTTGAATAATTCCAAATGGAAGGTGGGCTAATAGGAAACTTTAAGAAATAATAAGCATTGAGCGCATTCAGCGAAGTCTTGCCAAATTCACGAGTGACCTTCCTGTTTCCGTTGATAAGACACTGTGTATATAAAGCTGACAAACTGCAATAAAGTCACACAAACTTTTGAGTGAACGAGTGATTAAGTTGAATTTGCAAAATGTCAGAGAGAGCAGTTTTCGTGAGATCTCTTTTCGGGACCCTTAAACCTGGTCATATTCTGGTTATGGGCGGAAAAGCCAAAAGTGAAGCTCAAGAGTAAGGAACCTATTGTTTTTAATATTATAGTTCCATAAGAATTTTTTTCTATTTACAGAATTGATATACGTTTATGTAACAAAGAAAGGAATTCAATTGACTTGAGGCTGTTAATACGCTTCGAAAACAATCAGATCGTAAGAAATACACGTACAAACAGGAGATGGGGTGCTGAAGAGATCGAAGAGAACTTGGAACCAAATGCATGTTTGAACCCAATTACTCCTGGTAACTCATAGATTATTTTAAAGAATTTGAACTAATTATATGTGAATATTAAATTCTTTTCAGGAGCGCACTTTCGACTGTATATATTGTTAGAAACCTCGAAATTCCGCATCGCTTTTGACGGAAAACCTTTCTGCACTTATGCTTATCGTCTACCTTTAGAAGGGATTTGCGCTTTCTCTGTTTCTTATGGTGTAGAGAAGATTACACAGCTAGATCACAGACAAGTCTACCCATCGCCATGGCCGCCAATTCAAATGGATGAGCCAAATCTATCCTTCAGTGCTGATTTTCCAATTCAATTTTCCCCTGGACATTGTATTTATATCGCTGGAACCTGTAGTGAAAACTCTGCTGGACAATTTGTCATATTTTTCGTAGATGGAAGTAGTAACCCGAGTAAGAAGCTATCTTTTTACTTCAATCAACGCTGTGCTTCACAGATTGTGGCTTTGAATATCGCAACGAACATTGCTCATGGGGATCTACAGTAAGAAATACCGTCGAATACTAAAGAATACATTCAATGGATCTTATTTATTTTAGATGGGAGGGCCAGGAGAGTGGCAATTCTGAAATTGGTCGTAAGTTTATGATTACCATCGAATTTGAGACTGATGCCTTTAAGTAAGAGAAAATCCCTTTTTCCTTTTCCCTCTATATTATAAAACTCTTTTCATTATAGATTTTCTGTGAATGATCGGCTCATTGCTCGGTTCACCTATCGTTCAACTAATCTCCTAGATCATCTGACTGGTTTCAAAATTCGCGGAATTAATGGTACAGATTTGACAGTGTCGCGAATGGAATACACAAAATCTTTGAAACAGCGCTCCATTATTTGAAACCCTCTCGGACCGTTAAAGAATAACATTTCAACGAACGTTCATTGTGTAATAAAGTTGGAAATAAAGTTATATTCTTAATTTGGAAGATCAGTGTGATGTTGAATTAAGTATTCTTGGAAAAGATCACTAAAAACTTGGCATTGTTCAAAATATCTACTTTCAAATTGAAAAGCTTTCATAAGAAAGAAATATACTTGGAATTTTGTATAAGACATGTTCTAAAAAATCACTTTTCTTTTCTCAAATCAACTGAAATCAACTTCAATACGACTTTTCAAAGGATTAAATTTCCATTTGACAGCGAAACCGCTTCGAAAGTTTCTGATTGTCTGGATTTTCTCTATTTTCTTCCTCACTTGAGAAATTGAGGCTAATTTCTCATCATCCATCCGCGCTTAATAGCCAGGGAAGATTTTGTCATCTGAAAAAGTTCTTCAGCACATTGACCTGAACGTCGGATGAAAAGTCTGCTAAGGAAATAAATTAATCCGTTTAAGGAGACACGTTTTGTTTATATAAACGTATTCTCTCCCTAAACAAGGGACTTCTCACGAGGAGAAGCCAATTTCACAGGGGCAGAGGGGAGAAGTTTGCGGAGAAGGGATCGCATGGAAAGTTATGAAATTTCCCAACCCGACACAACTTTCAAGAATTCCTCCGACATCACCCTTCTTTCATTCTGTTGAAATTCCCCATTTTCAGAGAAAATAATATGAAATTGTCATCCCCAGGGATCACTTTTGGCTGAAACGCTCGCGAATTTTTGAAGCATGTGGGCAGAGATGAAATTCAATTGAGTGTAATCTTTGCGGAGTGAGTTGGGAAAATGAGTTGAATTTTGCGGGAAATTTGACTGTGAAATTGGAGAAATTTCTCAATGCCGAGTGAAGAACAATTTATCAATTTGCCCAACTGTTCTTGGGATACAGATCACTACTGAACTATCTTTACGCAAAGTCGTGCAAATAATAATAATATGTATGTGTGAGAATCCCATTAGTATCATTGAAAGTAACATTCTTCAGAATTACCATAATAACACACTCCAATACCGCAGTGTGGTGTTAATTATGAATCGCGGAACTATAATTAGGGTGTTGAGTGTTGAGTTCTTGCCAAGATGAGAGACCACAGCAAATTTCCAGTGCGAACTGTCATCCATGAGCGCCATTCATCTCGCATGTCGGGATGAAGTGATTGCACTAATTGCAAACTCTGTCGACTCAGTTCGGGATTCCCACCCCTTGAATCCACTCTCCCTCACCAACAGGGTGTCTAGGTGGTGAGAAATTGAGACGATGGTCTCGTATGTAAATCACTGAAATTGATCTCTTCAGACACTGCGTCAATCCTCCCCATCTCGCTTTGGTCGCAAAGTCCCTTGATGTGTGTCTGTGGAATGTCTGTGGAGAAATGTGAGAAGAAAAATCACTTGAGAGTCTTCCTTCCTCTGTTGCTCATCTGCAGACATGGTCAATCTGTAATTTAGCATTCAATTTCCATCCACCACGACGTGGCTACTCGAGGAATTCCATTTGAATCCATCCCGGGACTAGAGAGAATTCTCCCTCATTCTCCAAACTTCATTATCATTGTTGGTTTTCGTATGCGAACCATGTATTAATGATTTTCTATTTGAAGGTTTTCTTGTTTCATTGTGGCTTTCAGCTCAATCCCTCGGCTTTTTCGCTCTTGTCTGTGCCGCCGAGTTGCTTCACGTGCAGATTAAAGATGACTGCTTAAATTTGGGCACCGTTGATGCCATCATAAGGATTCCATATTCACAACTCTGTTGACAATAGAGGAGGAGCTTTTCGACCAAGGACTCTTGGACTCTGTATTGTTGAGCATCGAGTTGAGGGATTTACATGATCCTGCCAACATTTTCTCTGTGGCCATCGTGAGATTTTCCTGCGGTAAGTGGAGCAAATTGTTTCATACTGAGTCTCTCTCCCTCCCCGGGCGGTTCTCTCCGAGTGCGGCGCCCAAAAAAGCCACGGAGGAGAATGTGGGATTTCTAATTCCCCTGCTCCATCCAAAGGACAAGGGCTGTGCGGACCACAGCTTCCCACTGTTGCAAGCCTTTCTGTCTCTCTCCGTCGCTCGAAATTAGTTTTAACTCGATTTTCTGGGAACACCCCATGCCACTCTTCGATATTATGTTCATACATACAATGTACTGAGATAAGCGAACTTGCGAGGCATCGTTGACTCTCACAATGGACCTCATTAATTCTCACACCTGCCGAGGACACGCACTTTCGCCCCGCAACATGTGTATTCAGGGTGAAAATGTACGTTGTTCTGGTGAGTGGCAAAAGGGGTTAAATAATGAACTATTACGCAAGCCAATAGGGGGTTAAAGTGCCTCTGTCGCCCTTCCTCAAATCTCAAGGAGGATTGAGACAAAAGAGAGACTTGGAAATTAACAGGTGGCTGACGACTTCTATATTGAATGTCCATCCCCCAAGGATATTTCCACTAAACTTACTCGTTCAATTTGCCTTCCACTTTTCTCACACCTCGTTTCCACCCGCATTTTGTGAAAATGACTAACACTGAACGGAAAAAACACGGAAATTCTTGATAGCTTAAGTTGATACAACAATTTAAAAGCAAACATTTAACTCTAAAAAGACAATTTATAATTAATAAAACTGTTAATGAAATGTTTTTCAATTAGTCAAATTATTTAGCAAAACGGGTAGATTCAACAAAACATTTCTCCGAGTGTGACTTCTCAGCCCAGATTGAGTGCTTTTGCTACATCCTCGTGCTTTTCCGTTCCTCACTTCCGGATGCGGCACACAATCAAACTAAACATTGATACATTCCCCTGTTCACCTTCTTGAAAATGGGAATTGTGTCCCGATTCCTTGAGGGTGTTTCATCCTCCCTCTCTCCCCCTTCCGCGCAGCCTGAGAGAGGACGCACACGGCTCTCTGTCTCTTTGGCCAAAGTGGGAGAAATATTTCCCATTCGCCCAGGGAATTAAATTCAAAATTGTGTAGGGAAGTCACTCTTGTCGCTTCAGCAGTTTTATTCTCACCAGGGCAAAGTTGGGACGATAAAAGTTTTTGTGCCAATTAACTCATGCAACTAATTGAGTCTAAATTGTTTGATTCTTGAGAAAATTCTCAAGAACATTCCTTACAATTGGGGAGACAATTAATTTCTTATTTGTCTCCTTTGCGCGGCGGTGTGTATCGAAGTCTGATCGGTATTTGATGCTCTCTGAGACCCATTTAATGTTATCGAACTTTTCCTCCAGACTTTGCCTCGCATAAATGATGTGAGGGAGGATTTTCGGCAGTGTTTAAGTGGAAAATCCCTCTTGCGGCGTATCAGAAAGCTTCCTCACACAATTATCAATATTTGATCGAATGAAACTTTATTAAAATAATGTTTTCTCCATAGCTGAAAATCCAAACCCAATTTCCTGTCAATTTCACTGCGGAGAGAGTGTAGCCGTTAGTGAAAGGCCACCCATAAAAATAAACAAGAAAATCCTTTCTGCTCATGAATCGTTGAGCCTAGGAAAGAGGATTTTGGGACCCAGATGAAAATCCCTCTACTCTTCATTTATTTGCGAACCCACTCAATGCAACGTGAGAAAATATTCAAGGAGATCTTTATTGAATCTCTCTGTCATCAGATATTGCACATGATTACGCTATCGTCTGAATTGGAGGGTAAAAGGATAAATTTCCTGGGCAATTCTGTGACATTATGACTCCTTTGATGCGATCTTTGATGCTGTGAAAGCGCCTTAAAATGTTAAGTCTCTGTTTTTGCTTGGGAAATTATATCAAAGAGGTCAGAGTAGAATTCTCAGAAGATGGAAAAGACATTTCATTCACACTAATTATTCGGTTTTGTCTGGGTTTTTCCCATATCGATGACTTTAGTTAGTTCTTCTGCATGCTGGGAAGGTATAAAGGAGCCAGAGAGAGAGAGAGAGAGAGTATAAACTAATTGAGTGAGAATATGGTAAGAAAATGAAGCGAAATTACCGTCCCTTAATCATACAATAATACTCTTTAATGGTAATTGGGGGCATCAGAAGAACTTCTCCCCTCAATCAATGGGGAGCATCCATTGAATAGAGAGAATGGATAAATAGGGAAAACAGCAAATGAGTGTATGGGTGAAATGAGGAAAATTGATTGCAATCAAGCAGCAATCAAAAGCGCGGGCGTTTCTCCCAATTACCTTGGCACACATACAAAATTCGCCCTCCCAAACTCCCCCGCAAAAGTGGGCTGGAGTGGAAGAAGTCTAGGAATTTCACCTCTAATTGGTGCTCTTTTTCTGCTCATACACGAAATTATTCAGCACAGTGTAATTTTCTTGGAGGATGCTAATTTACATAATTAGTGGCACAAATTGAATGTAATTCCAAACGTACGAGAGAGACGTGCTGCTTAGTGGAGATAATTTGAGCGACGTCTAACCCACCCCACTCGTCACCTTATTATATGCTTGATGGAGGAAATGACGCTGAATGGGTGGCAAAAGAGCGGAAGTAGGCAGAACTCTGTGTATGGCAAAATTTCATGTGTGGCTAAAGTTTTGCACAAATATACTTAAAATACATCAAATGAATTGAAAAGTTTCACCTTTTGCTAGTCACTCAGCTTTTCCATGCCGCAAACATGTCAATTTACGATGGAGAAATAGTCTTTTCCATGGCCGAA